AAAAGTAACTAAGTAATTAATTACTTTTGAAAATAAGTAATCAGTAAAATAACGGGATTACTTTTTGGGGGAAGTAATCAGTAATTAGTTACTGATTACTTTTTTCAAGTAACTTGACCAACACTGCTAATGACAATTGAAGTTGTATAACTGGAGACAGTAGAAAACAGACAGACTATGTTCTGTGTGGAGTCGAGTGTGAGGGACTCTGTTTGGAGGCTGTAGCTTGGACAGTGAGCACAAGAACACCAGCGAATCTACAACAGAATGACTGAAGAAGGAAAAAACGAGGTGTTGTAGTGGCCCAGTCAAATCCAAACCTCAATCCAACTAAAATACTGTGACAAGAAGTTAAGAGAGCTGGACATAAACAAACGCCTGTTAACCTCAATAAACAGACAAAAGATGATGTAGATGTTGTAGAGATGAGGATAAAATTCCTCCTTTTAAATTAATACATAAACTTCAAGTTATTGTTGCTAAAGGTGTTGGATAAGTGGAGTGTATTTGGTTGTTCCACACTGCTCTGGCATTTTGTCTTAGTTCTCGTTAATAAATAATGACACAGTGTAAAACGTCATGTTTTGTGCTACATCTTATCCAAATACCTCACACTGCCTTCTGTGAACATCCTCCTCTCCTCCAGGTTTCCTGCGCCATTGTATGGAGAACCTACTGCTAGAGCAGACGTTCTGGCTCAGTTCTTTGAAGGATGACTTTGCTATTGAGGTGACCATTCAGGAGGAAACACTTAACCTTTTCTACAGAGGCATCCTCCTACAAGAAGGTTGGCACTAAAATATCATTTTAGAAGGTGATTAGACATGAGATCAGGAAACTGTAAATTAGTAACAAAGGTGTGCATTTACCTGGTAAAATCTTAGACGAGTGAAAGTATTAGTTAACTATTTAAATGAGTTACATATGTATATATGCTGATAATTCCAATTCACACCAAACGCAACATCATTTTATATGCAGGCATTGAGAAAACACATAAATCCTCCCACTCAAATGCCATGTTGTGTAGTGAATTTAAAGGA